TATCCATCCATCTATCTATCTATCTATTTGATTATCTGTTTGTCCCTAGCTATCTCACACCCATTCATCCATCTATCTATCTATTCATGTTTTTCTATCTATCTATCTATCTATCTACCGAAAAAATCTGTCTGAATTGTATATCTCACAATTTTCATCTATCTACAAATCTATCTATTATCTATCTATCAAACTATTTATTTATTTTATTTGTCTGTGTGAGCTATCTCACATATTATCTATCTATCTATCTATCTATCTATCTATCTATCTATCTATCTATTTCCTTATCTGTCTGTCTAGCTATCTCGAAATATTCTATCTATCTATCTATCTATCTATTTATCTATCTATCTATCTATCTATCTATTTCTTATCTGTCCTGTTTCCTATCTCACATATTCATCTATCTATTATCTATCTATCTATCTGTCTATCTATTTGAAAATTTGTATATCTGGTCTGTCCATCTATCTCTGTCCACTAATCTAAAAATCTATCTATCTATTTGTCTATCTATCTATCTTTCTATCCATCTATCATTAAATCTATCTATCGGAAGGTCATTTCCTTATCTGTCCATCTGTAAGCGTAGATTTCATTATTTATATCTATTTATTTATCTCTAGTCTATCTATCTATTTTTATCTGTCTGTCAAAGCTAAAAATTCTATCCATCTATCTATCCATCCATCTATCTATCTATCAAATATTTAATCTGTCTGTCCAAACATCTCCAAAACATCTATCCATAATCCATGTATCCATCCATCCAGAATCCATCCATCCATCCATTTCCCCATCCGTCTGGAAAGGATCCCACACCCATCCATCCATCCATCCATCCATCCATATATCCATCCATCCATCTATCCATCCATAATTTCCCCCATCCGTCTGTCCAGCTATGAAAATTAGTCATCCATCCATCTATTTATCCATCCATCTATCCATGAAATCCATCCATCCATCCATTTTTATCTGTCTGTCAAGCTTTCATACCCATCCATCCATCCATCCTGGATCCATCCATCCATCTATCTATGAATCAATCCATTTCCTTATCTGTCTGTCAGCTATCATAACCCATCTATCCAAAATCTATCTATCTATCCTAATCTATATATCTATCTATTTCGAATATACTAAAATCCATTCAGAATCTATCCAAACATCTATCTATCTATTCTAATCATCTGTCTATCTATATCATCTATCTATCTATCTATCTATCTATTTCCTTATCTATCTATCTATCTATCTATTTCCTTATCTGTCTGTCTATTATCTCACATATTCTATCTATCTATCTATCTATCTATCTATCTATCTATCTATCTATCTATTTCCTTATCTGTCTGTCTAGCTATCTCACATATTCTATCTATCTATCTATCTATCTATCTATCTATCTATCTATCTATCTATTTCCTTATCTGTCTGTCTAGCAAAACAAAACATATTCTATCTATCTATCTATCTATCTATCTATCTATCTATCTATCTATCTGTCTATGTTCCGGATATACGTGACACGAAAAAATAACACCCCCATAGCTTAATTTACTATTTAGCGTAGATTTGACATTTAATTGGTTAATCCAGACACACCCACGAGTTTATTTTTAATTCCGACCTTATGTCCCCGCCCGGTTTACCTTTTTGAAAAGAGGTAACATTATGTTTTTAAATTTCCTTAAAAATCATTTAATCACCAGTTACTTACCATCGACTGAAGAAGTACAATCATAGTATTGAATCATAACAGCTTTTGTGTTGCGATTTCAACACATTTTTTTATATACTCTAATAATAATATACATATAGTCACACAGAGTCAACCTATTTCGCCGTTTTCACAGTTCTTCAGTGAAGCTAGAGGTCCGATTATTCCAAGCCGGGATCGAAACCCAACAGATTTGGTATCAGTCATAGATCCTACTCCTCGTCTATTGTCGCACGGTAGCAGAGAGCAAAGAGAATTTTAACGTATTATATACGAAATACGCCAGCACCTCGGAGAGCTCAATTCAATTGAAGAGCAATGCGTTAATAGCAGTAGGAGCCACTGTTTTTTTTTTTAAATCCAATTATATATATATATATATATATATATATATATATGTATATATATATATATATATATATATATGAAACTTGAATAAAGCATGGAATAATAATAATACAACACAAAATGTACTTAAACAAAATGTATTGACACAAGAACGTGTACACAATATTTACAGATAGTTTGGTATATTCTTGGGAAGACCGTTCCTGTAGAATGGGTTGACTTTGTCGCAGTCGGGAAGAGTCTCTGGATGGGATCTCTTCTTCCTCCCCCGTCTTCCCGGTACCAACCCATATTTATATGGTCGGTACTCCACTATGTAAATTAGGTCGATCGTACCACAACAATATATATATATATATATATATATATATATATGTATATATATATATATGTGAAAGTGTATATAAATATAAATAAATATAAGTA